TGTATATTGTAATATTTAGTTTTTTTCCAAAACTTTTAAGATTTTTTGATTTTCTTATGTCCGTATGTATATATTTCTAATAATCCATTTCCTTTTTCTTCTAACCATTCAATCATTTTTGTGTCTACGCGTTCCTCGCCACTTGCTTTTCCTAGTCTGCTTTCATGTATAACCTTCTTTATTTCTTCTCTGTGGATTTCTTGAGATTGATGTTCATTTAATTCCTTTTCGTCTGTATTTGCTAGTTGCTTAATCGGCATACTGTTAAATTTGATTTTATAATGTTTTTTCAAGATTTCTATTATTTCTGTTTTTTCTGTTGCCAGTTTATTTTTATTTTTCATAGCTTATTCCTTTTATTCTGTTTCATTTTATTATTTTAACTATTTTTAATTTTTTTTATTATCGCGTGCATACGTTTTTGTCATTTTTCTTACACGATCTCCGCAGGATTGTTTTTAACTTTTTAATTAGCTTGTTTTAGTATGTTTGTTTTTATAAGATTCACAACCTTACCTTTATTTTATTTCGTATGATTTGTAAACTTCTTAATTTAACTGAAACTAGATTGTAAAGCTTTAATCCTAGGAAAAATAGGCCTTCTTTATACTCGTATATTTTTGTTTTTCCGAGCAGTGTGAAAATATGTATTTCTGTTATCGTGTTAACAAAAAAAAAAACATTCAATTTGTGCTGATTACAGTATATATTTTGTTGGAAATTATTACAATTGGACTCCCATTGGATATACTGTTAATAAAAAAAAAATGATTGATCGAATCATTCTGTATTAACAGTCAATATATTTCATTCACACCTAAATTGTAACAAATATTGTTTCCGCCCGATCAATAACTCACCCACCATTATGCCAGTAGAACCATCATGGACTTACTACATACTTTTCTGGGTCAAACTCGTTAAGGGTTATAATGAATTCTGAATACAAGGATTATTTTACAGTTGGACTCGCGCTTTATGAACCATACGCTTCAATGCTTCTAACCTAACCATACACAATGTTCTTCGTTGTAACGAGTTAGACTTGCAACTTGCATTAGTTTAGTTATAGAAATGTTTCAGGGAGTAGACGTTTTGAGGGTAGAATGATACACAAATACAAATTTTGTACGTTGCAGATAAGGAGGTAAAACTATTTATTTCCTAGCATAAATAGAGCCGTTTATTTTTAAAGTCCATTTATACTTAAAATAAGAGATTCATTATCGATAATGTTCGAAGGCAATGATAAAGGTAATTTTAATTAATTAGTATTTAACAAGTTAACCTCAGTTTTTAGACAATTGCATTAGTTGAATAAGTACGTTTAATTAATGCAGTTAAACTAAATTTACACAAACCTTTAGATATCTCAATTTAAGTAATAATGGAGTTAGGCCCCTTTCAAACTAAACGACTCAATAATCAATCAATAAAAAAGTTATCACAAGCTCAAAATTTAATATTTTTTAGTTGTTTATCTGTAATTATGTCAAAAGAATTACACAGATAATTAAAATTTTTATACGAAACTTTTGGTGGATCTCTGTTATCTGTTGGGTGCGGGGAGAGTGAGTTGCTCCAAAGTCCTTAGATCTCATAAGGCCGATTATTCATTCTCCAGGGACATATAGAACTTGCCTCTCAACTGTTAAAAACTGCTGGTTGTCGCTGAGAGGTGTCTACTAGACAGCTATATTCCCAGCTCATCAATTTGTCAAAAACCTGCTGGTTGACTCTGAGGGGTATCTATAGACAGCCATCTTCTCAGATTTTCAAAGTCCTGAAGGTTTTTGACTGATCAAAAACTTGCTGGTTGTCACTGGGTGGTTTCTAAAGATAGACAGCCTCTGCAAGTTAACCTTTAACCGCTACCCTGAAAAATTTTTACACTCTCACTACCATCGGTATGAGATACCGCTATACATAATATGTGGTATTACCTATATTTTTTTTTTTTTTTTAGAAAATTGAAACGACCTTTTATTTGTTTTATTATTTCTTTATAATCGCAAAAATAAAACAAAAAGGCTAAAATAAACATCTTAAACAAACAAAATAAATTGATGAATTCTATATAGGCAAATTTGTATATTCTATATAGGCAAATATGTATACTTTCTTATTTTTCTCGATTTTTTACAGAATTGTTACAAATTCTTTTAACATTATCCAAACAAATTGGTTTTTCCCATTCTCGAAAAACAAAAAATGTCTTCCGCTTTAATTTGTAGGGGCCTAAGAAGCATGTATTTTTAGTTTACAGTCACTCATAATTTGGATCTTTTTCTTCGGGATCTTCTGCTATTTGCAGCAGATACTCCATATCCCTTCTTAGCTCTCTTGGTAATCTAAGGTTTTCATTATATCGGTGTTGCAAAAATGGTGTGATTAGACTTTTTGCCAGTATTTTGAGGAAGTTAAAGCGTAATTCTTATAGCTTTGATACAAAATGTAGACATTGACTGAACACATATTCATCATTTGTAGGAAAACAGTCATGGGCCATCTGCAAGTCCTCACACCAGAAGAATAATTTTCGCATTTCTTATCTAAGCTATCTACACCTCCCTTGGTCATATTGTAATCGGCAATCATTTCTGTCTTTCCGGTATCTGGGTCATCTTTTGAAAGATGGTGCATTGAAGAAATTAGCAATACAGCTTTATTTTTCTTGGGAACATGGGAAAGCAGAGTAATGTCTTCTTTGAATCCGTATAATTTACTACCGACCTCTTTCTTTTTGTCTGGCAAAAAAGAGGCAGGAATCATCGGCTTGTTCTTTTTTAATGTACCCAAAAATGTTAGTCCTCTGTTTTGTAATTCTGTCACAAGTTGTAAAATGCCATTTTTTATTTATCTATTTTTTACAATAATAAAATGTTGATGAACAGTAATCCCCATGAAATAACCAAATAACTTTTTATTATCCAACTTCAAAAACACATCTTTTCGCATCATTTGTTTACTGTTCGCCTGAAAGGGATACCCTAAGGTACACTGCGACATATACACACATACTCTGCCGTTGACATATATCAGAAAATCAAGAAAACACTTCTTACAGTCGACGACAGAAGGAAGGGAGGAAAAAGAAAAGAATGTTTTTTCTCTTTGATCTTAAAAAATATATGGAAATTCTTTCCGATACCGGCAAATTGGGAGAAACAGTTCGTATATACATACGTTAAGGGTCAAACCCTTTTTATTTTTCTACGGGAAAATCAAAGAACTATAGCTTCAGAAATGCGGAAAGCAATTTATTGAAAATTTATGTGGAAAAAGAAACCACATATTGTATAGGAATGAGAGCATGAAGGTTGTTGGTTTGCTTTTCAAAGAGAGAAAATTATATTTGAATAATCCGGACGGTAGCAGAATCGGAGCTAGGTTAAATGATAATTTAAGCGTTTAAGGTTTTCTTAACACTTTTGAGGATAACTTGAAAAATTGTAATTACAATGTATAATTAGTAAATAATTAATAAATAATGAAAAGAACAGACATAAAATATTAATTTGTGCTCCATAGTCTTAATTCTGACGACACTTTAGTAATTAAAATCAGTATAATCTTGAAAAAATTAATACATTTTTCGACATTTTTTACTTCAGAATAAAGTATTACCCAACAAAGCCCAAGTAACACAAAAAGTTATATAAGGGTTATAGCGATGTTATAACAACTTTCCTTAAAGCTCAACAATTTACATATTCTATACCGTTATTATATATTATTATGTGACTTTTGGTGGATATATACAACCTAATAGTATATACATTTTACAGTAGTTGCTATAACTCCAGTTATAACTAACTTATAACTTTATGAAAAATAATGTAATTAGGTAATTACAAATGGATATAAAAACGTTGTTAAGAGTTATGTTATGATATAATTTGGATTTACCTATAGACTATTATTTATATAGCTGAAGAAGACTAATAGGTATAAACATTTTAGAGTTTCTTCTTACAAAATGACATTGTATCATACATATCTCACTTATGGAAACTGAGTAAACCTTAATATTAAACTTACATTTTACATAAAAAGTTGGTGTAATCTACCTAAATCCTCTGACGAAAAATTTTTTATGAAGTAACATTTAACTTTAGTGTGTAAAAATTAGTGCGCCTTATCATTTTCTCTAAATAATGGTTCTAAAATTTATTAAAAATATGACGAAAAAAAAAATAACTTCAAAAATATTAGAAAATAATTTTGATATTTTAAATAAAAACATAATAATGTAACCTTATTTTGTCTACATATTGCAATTATCCAGATCCAAATTTTATTTTTTGTTCATTTTTAACAAACATGGTAAACATTTTGTGTTTCTTCTTACTGAAAAAATGGCAGCATATTCTTATGACCAGAAAGTTGTAATTAATACATATAAACACCACGTTAAAGTTATTTAACTTATTATTTTATAACTTATACCCTCGTTATTTTTCTGTGCACAACAAATGGTTATTATAACTTAATTATGTAAATTTCATTTACATGTATCATATTAATATTACCACTCTGCGTTATAACTTAATTCTTTGTGTATTACTTATATAAGTTATATCAAAACTCGTTTACCGCTAAGTTATAACCGAGGAGTTAACCGCCGGGAACATCTCTTGTACACGACAGGAGAAGTCTGAAGGAAGTCAGAGGAAGTCCGAGGAAGTCAGGAGGAATTCATAGGAAGTCGGGGGAAGTCAGGAGGAAGTCCGGGGAAGTCTGAGGAAGTCAAGTTCTATTTAATGGTTTAAAAAAATATTTTATACAGGATGATTTAATTAGCTAAATTTTTAATCACACTGAATTAAATATTTTTTTCTTCAACTGAATAGAACTTGAAAAGTTAGAATAAACTGTTTTTCTTGATATTTAACGGTTTGGCTCCTAGTCCTCTAGCCGCTTTCCAAAAATGCACCTTCTTACTGCATGACGATATTTGGGACAGACAATAAATTCACTTTTCAAGATGTACAGTATAGATGGGGTCTATAAGGTTTGGAATAAAGGTGACGGGATTTTCATCAGATGGAAATACCAGACTGCTGAAAACAATGCGCCTAAATTCGGTCTTGCCTATTTCGAATGGATATGAAACCTCAAAAACGACTAAAAGTGCTTCTGAATCAAAACCTAGATTAGAACGAATGGATAAGTCCCCTGAAATAAGGCAGCTGAATGAGTGGAAGTGGTATCAAATACGCTGCGATGACGAAGAATGTGAGATTTGTTTCGTGCAGGATATTGTCCATATTTTAACAAAACTGAAAGTTAGACTTTTAAATTTAGCTGTAACTTTACATATGGGAAACTACATCGCTGGTAACAACCACCTACAAGCCCTAGCCAGAGATGTCTCGAAAGATCAGCATTTATTGACAGCTACTGATTTGAAAGGAGAGGACAAAATGAATTTTGAAGCCGTAGAAAAGATGTGCTTACTGAAAGTTATAGATCATTTGAAAAAAAAATACCTGTTAGTAAAGCAACGCTGCTATATCTAAGACTGATGCGCTATATATACAATTGATGCATTTTTGAACAAGAAAACTACGGTGGAGAATAGGATTTATTACATGTGGTACTTTTTTTTAATATGGTGTCATCGGTATCGACTACTAAGGCCATTAGCTTCGTGTTCTGTGTAAGCTTTGTTACTGTTTCCTAGCGCCACTTTAGGAACAGCACTGTTAATTAGAACCCAACAGTGAATGGTACCAAGGCATCAGAATTAATTTAAAATAATTAAATAAAATAATCCCGGCCAACGGTGGGATTCGAATCTGGGACCCTTGGATCCACAGGCAGAGACTCTGCCACTGAGGAGCCACCCACCCCTTACATGTAGGATTGTATATTTTTTAAGAATGTGGAAAAACAGGCTGAAAAATCCCAAATATACAATGAAGAACAATTTTCTGCCATCGAACGCTTATCTCTCAATAGACCTAAATAGCCACAGTCTTATCAGGTTCATTGTAAAAGCCAGACAAAATAAGAATATCACAAATGATATGGCTCTTCTCCAGCCAGTCGTGTGAAAAGCTCTTTAAAACAACCCGATCTCTTACGTCCACTTTTTCGGCAGTAGTTAACTTCAGTGTTAAAGAGATTTTGCATCGTATTGACAGAATACAATCTATCAATAATATTCTGAAAAATTGCACTGAAACTCTCAAATTTCCCAGAGAAGATAAGAAAATTGGCTCGAACAAGTTGGACGTTAATCTTTCAGATTATGATTTCCGTCTATCTGACCAAGATATACTCCGAGTTGTTGGAGACGCTTTACAAAATTGCATAGAATATGCTAAGGCGCTTGACATCATAGTATCTGAGAACTGTTGGAATTTTGTAACTGTTCCAGTGTCACGTGGGAAGACCTTTAAGAGAACAGACCCAGAGTCGGTTTTGGAACCTATAGAAAATTCCCACCTAAACGCACCAAAAAAATTAAAACTACTAAGCGCGACGATACCTCGTCGAAAACTGAAGAAGAGGATAAAGTCACTGCTTTCGATGACAGTACTGATACGGAAGTTTTCGATTCTAATAAATCGGACGATGATTCAGACTATAGCCAGTCTGTGATTGAGACACAAGTTGGTGATGCCCTTGAAACAAAACGTTCTACGAAAGTTGAAGTGACAAACAAAACTGATGAGCTTTCAGTTGACAGTTTTGTTTTTTGTTCATTTATATATAATCAAGGTACCAAAATGGAAAAACAAAAAAAATTCATTGCTCAAGTGATAAAAAAAGAAAAATCGAATATTACTGTTTCTTGTATGCGTTACAATGAAAAAAGAAGTTTCCATTTTCAGATGTTTGATTTAAAAGTGCAATACTTTTATTATTGAACCAACCATAATGACACGAGGTGGTTATTAAAATCTGTGTTTAATCTTCAAATGATAAATTTTAATAATTTTGGAGGATATTTTTAAAGTTATTTTCGACCTGGTTGAGTATTATTTATTTACACAAATGTGCCTAGGCATAAGAAGGTGGTGTTTAACATTTATTACTTCAATAAAGATAGACTTCAGATTTTATTCCATGTCATATCAAATTAATTATACCACTACCACTCGAACTGATTTTCTCAAATCATCAATAAAAACTAGACATAAAGTAAGTAAGTAAGTAGTATAAGTAACACATTAAGCCTCTGATTTATGTCTATAGTATAATAATAAAAATTATAGTTACCCTTGTGTACTAGATGAGGATGTCTTGAATAGGTTTGTAGATAATTATAAACATAATGTAAATATCATTAAAGTAATCAAATATTAACAAGTAGAAACCTAATTCAACGGTAAAGAAAGTAAAAAGGGGCGTTCTCAATCAGGTAAAATGATTTCTTATTCCATTCCAATTATTAGAATAAATTCGAAAATTTAAGTCAATAAATAACGGATTTGTTAAAATAACTTATTAAAGCATTAGTAGGGAGAGTCAGGAGGAATTCTGAGGAAGTCAGGAGGAAGTCAGGAGGAAGTCAGCAGGAAGTCAGGAGGAAGTCAGGAGGAAGTCAGGAGGAATTTCGAGGAAGTCGCAGGAAGTTCCAGGAAGTCTGAGGAAGTTACGAGGAAGTCCGAGGAAGTCAAAAGGATGTCCGAGGAAGTCAGAAGGAAGTCCGAGGAAGTCGTAGTCGAAGTCAGAGGAAGTTAGGATTTTCGCTGTGGTCAACCCCTCGGTTATAAGGATTTCAATAATTTCTAATATTTGTTTGCTAGGAATAATGAAGGAAAAATCAAATTAAAAGTACTTGTATGCAAAACATGTTTTTAAGACATAGGGTTTTTAAATAATAATACAACATTGGATTCTGGTCCCATAAAAACTATGTTTATTTTTTTGGGAGTTTGCAGTAAGGTTCTTGCATCTTTTGGTAGTTATTTAATTTTATTTATTCATTTAATTATTCTCATTAATTTATTTACAATTTTATGTGGTAAGTGCCTACTTTATTTTTTTATACCCATACTTTTAGTTATTGGTTTCTATTTTCATGTCAATTTCTATGTCTGCAATATTTTCTTGATCTTTATTAGTTATTGTTTTTTATATACTTATTTATATCTTATTACTGTTGAAAACAAGGGATGATTTTATTGTATAGGTAGGTACTGAGGATCTATATTTGAAATGATCTCAATATTGTTTAATGCGTCCACTTTAAATAGTTTTTTTTTACATACATAACTCCATCCGTACCTCTTTTACGAATGCATGATAAGTCTCATATAAAATTTATAAAGCAACTCAGAAAGATAATAATAAATTCTAGAAATACAATAATATACACATTTAACCACTGTACAACTTCTATAGTAAAGGTATATTATATAATTTAAAACAAAAGAACCACTTTGCATTTGTTTCATTAACCATATAATAATTTTCTGGATAAACCTAATAGTAACTACAGTTTACAACGATATTAAAACGATATTATTAGGTGAATATGTATCTATTGTATGTAGTTGTAATTCAAAAGTCATAGAAACGTTATAACAACCACATATATTATTGTACATTTTAAAACAACTTAATTTAGTTATACGTTCTCACAAATTAACGTTGTTACAACTCCAGTTAAATCTTACTAAACAAATTCTTACAAAAACGTCGTAATATTAGTTTCTACACTATTAAAAAGTATATCAGTTATAAAAATTTAAATTATTTAACGTGTCGTTTACTTGTGTTTTGTAACGTTTTAATTAATTATACCAACATTTTATAACTTTGTGTGTTACTTGGGAGTAAACGTATCGAAACTAATGTGGTTGAATATTATGGAGATGATATGCCAAAAAAAGCCCCTTCCCTCTTACCATTAGAAGCACTGTTATAGTTGTCAAGGAGTTGTTAAAGCTTTTTCAAAATTTAAATAATTCAGCGTTAATTCTGTCCTAGTTAGTCCTTTTTATTTAATATTTTGCATAACAATCATGACCAAATCTACTAAACCTAATTATAAGAGATACAAAATAAAGAAACGAAAGAAAAGGCCTAATTTAAGTTTTTGGTATTTTTCCATAATTCCTAAGTTCTTGCTTAATGTTAAAATTAGGCATAGTCGTTGTCAGTGTCAATTTGGTTTTTTCTCCGAATTTTTTTGAATTTCTTTTATTTTTATTAGTTTTGCGTTTTCATGGCAGCTTTTAGTGGGGGTGTAACTCAGACAAATTTTTCAAACAATCCAAATAACCATCCAGAATTCTCGTCAAAGCAAATGCAGTCGAACTCGATAAGTGCCCCTAATTCATTTAATGATTTAGATATGAATAATTAACCATCAATTCAAAGTCAAACGACCGACGGTAAATTTGAGCTGTTAGTTACCGATCAAAATAAAAAAATAGACCTATTTTCAATTTCGATATAATGAATTTAGGTCCATTTTACATTTACATAGAGAACGAGGAGAGTAATTTTAGTGGAAAATTAAATGCAGTGAAAATATGTGAAATATTATTTACATTACACCCAGAAATAGACAATAAAATTTAAAAAATAGATTCTGTTGGCCGTAATGTTAGAGTCACTTTTAAAGATTTCAACAGTGCCGATATTCTAGTAAATTCTAAATTAAATATTCAGAAAAATGTAACTGCTTATATCCCAAAGTTTCAACGTTTTAGAATAGGGGTAATAAGGGATATAGATATAGATATATCAGAGGAATATCTTAAACGAAAAATTAAACAACACGACCTTTTAAAGAAAGTAGCTTGCACTTCCATAAGGTAACTTATATCTAATAACTCTTCATCAAGTCAATTTCAGACATCTACTAATAAACCACTATCACCGCTATTGTACAACCGGCGATAACCTCTTTTCGGCCCAAACCCTTCGCATTTCCTGCAACATCAAACACTTATACGATAACAAAGTCACTTAAACCCAAACTAATCCATCCATCTTCTTCAGACTCATTATCAATAGAGCACAATAAATAATCAAAATGAGCACTCTTCCTGCTAGACCTGGAGGAATTATTGCACCTCCCTCTATTTGGAAAATCAAATGATTTAAATGATGTGCCTAAGAAATTATTTGAAATAATCTTATACCAATAATATTATTACCAATTTAAAACAAAATCAACTTTTCGAAAGGCCAGAAAAATCTACGTTAGCTAATCTAATAAATTCTATGTTCTCTCTTATAGTAATGAATAGCTTGGTTAAATCGCCCCCTTAGTGCAACAACTAGATAACTCGAAATTTATGCATTTTGAGTTATCCAGTTTAATATGTCCTATTTTTCATGCTCTTTTCAATGCAACAACTGGATATCATGTACGAGCAACTATACTTATTTTTAAAGAATGACTAAAAACAGATAACTCCCAATATATACATTTTATAACTAGACATCTTGAGATATCTAGTTTTAGCACTGTTATTGTTGAGTCATCTGTTGGTCCCTTCTTGGTCGCTATGAGAGATATCTAGTTGTGTGCTTGAAACAACAGGATTGTTTCTGTGCTGCTAAATTGTTTTTACGGTGTTTCTTTAAAAGTCATGACTTGGTTAGTGGGCAGAAAATATGCTGGTTGAACTTTTCAAAATCGGCGCCATTTATTATTAATTTTATAAAAGATTTTGATGGCGAGTTTAGACATCTAAATTTTAAACGTAAAATACGTATTTCGTCTTCAAATAATACCCAAGAGCCTTTGTATCAAAGTCAAATAGCACTTAAAAGTCTTCTATTCCAAGGAGACCAACGTCAACGGCCTTGAAACATGGAAGATTCCCAAACCGACATCATTGATATTGACACTTAAGTTTTATCAAGGGTGGAACCTTTTGAGTTTTATTTAAACTAATCTTGTTAATTTTTTATTCAAAATAAAGTTTTAAATATTAGACGATTTGCGTTTAATTGTTAGAGGTTATAATAGATAACTTTACTTTCTTTTCAGCAACTAGATATCTAAAGTTTTTGATTAAATTCTACAAATATATAAAACCTAATTGTTTCCAAAATTAACAAATCATAATTTGATATGCAACATATCTGTATAGATATTAAATATTTTTGATTACTTAACAGGTGTATTTTTTTGCGTTTTGAATCTTTAAAGTGGATTTTCTCAAAACTATAAATTTTAAGTTATCTAGTTGTTGCACTAAGGGGAGAGTATGTCAATGGAATTGTAAATCGGCTATTTCTAATAGAGATAATCTTTGTCATCTACTAAACAAACACAAAATTCAAATCGCTTTTTTATCAAAAACGAGATTCAAACCAGAAAGATATATTAATTTTCCTGGTTTTAATATTGTCAGAGATGATAGCCAATCTGAAAATACTGCTAGTGTTTCAGCAATTTTAAAAAATTCAAATTTATATAACGAAGAATGTCAGATGAATGTAAACTTACCTAATGTTAATAAGGTTGGGATCAAAATTAAATTTAAATCTCAAATCTTAAACATTTGTTTCAATTTATGTTCATGTAGAAGTCAAAATAACATTACACCAGTGGAATAACTTTATGAAATCTTTAAAGAAGACTTTGATCATCGTAGGAGATTTTAACGCTCATCACATTGCTTGGGGAGTAGATAATCAAACAGATCTGAAAGAAAAGATTCTGATAGACTGTTTGGACAATAACAACCTTGTATTTAAGAATGCCACCTTTTTTGATAAAAACTATAACGTCAAGTCTGCAAGTGATCTGATTATTTGTACTCCTGAGCTTAGCCATTTGATTACCTGAAATACTCTTAAAGACCTATTTAGTTCTGATTATGTACCAACAATAATAGAGGTAAATGATCAACTGTCCCTATTTACTAATCCCTTTTAAATGGAACTCAAAGAAAGC